CAGGAGCAACTCCTGGGAAGACCAGATGGTGGCTGCCCACCTAGGCCTGGCGCTTGAGGACGGGGCTCTCCAAGCCCTGATAAATATTACTTCTGAAGTTCAGTTCCATCTGACAGCTCCTCAGACAACGCTGAAGCAGCAGTTCAGGAGCAGGAGAGGGGAGGTTTAGTGCTTGGCAGCTGTTTGGCATCAAGTGGCGCCGAAGAGAGCATCAGCTGGGAGTGCTGCCTGCCAATATCAGTGCGCTAACCCAGCAAGCCTACTCTAACTATCCAGCTGCTGTCCAAGAAGACCTGGCTGTGGAGGCTCTCCTCCCAAACCAATTACAACAGCAAGTGTGACTGTTGACCCCACACAATGTAAAGCAAATGCTGGTGGAGGCTGAAAGAGCGGAAGTGATCCTCAGCTCAGCATCCCAGGAAGGCACTTCGACGTGCTCGGCAGCAACTTCCCGATGGGGCTGACCAGGAAGAATCAGGAAATGAACAGGAGGGGCAGTGATCACATGATGTGCCTATGGGCTCAGACACAAATTAAGGGCTTGAAGACGATTCGATCAACTTTATCAAACGCTCTCCACCTGTGTGGTTTCCTCACTGGCAAATAGAGAGATCAAGCTTGAACGGGCGCATTGTATTTACCCGAGAGCCTCCACTGACCAGAGGAGACATCACATGTTCATTTTGAAGTTGCTGAGCAGCACCAAAAGATATCTAATTTTCCAGGAGTCCAGGAGGTATGGTCCAGCTCTGATAGTGGACGGTCCAAAGCTGAGTTTTGCCCCTGATTTTTCTCCGCTCACAGCTGCAAAGTGAAGCTTGTTTGATGCCGTGAGAAAAGAATGGAGAGAACCCGGCATCCTGAACTTTCTTCTCTATCCAGCGATTTTGAAGGTCATTGTAAGTGGCCAGGTCACTCTGTTACAGTCTCCAGAAGAAGCCTCCCATTATCTTAGTTCCCATGTTCAACCAGTTACACCAGAAGAGGCTCAGAGGTGGGGACTCGAGTTTGTGACTCTAACTGGAATCGCACTTGAGTCGCTCTTAAACTGACTTCCGACTTGACTTGCAACTCGTTGTTTTTTGAGTCAGACTCGACTCCAACTTGTTGATAGCGACTTGTGAACAATAACAGTCTTTAAGGCTGAAGAACACCGTTTTGTGTCTGACATACCGTTCCAAGTCAGCCTGTATTTTCTTACAATTTAGAAAGTGCCGGCACCGCTTCATCGTGCCCTTCGTATCGCATATAACACCAGCAAATAATTCAATTAAACAGTAACATCACTGACTGCTCTCCCATAAATAAAAGAGCAACACGACGGGGACGAAAGAGCCAGAAGGACCCCGTGCCCATGTCTGTCCCTGTCCTTACTGCTGCCTGTTCACGCCAGTCTGTCTCCACCCTACGAGCACTTTGCCTGTTGAGAACCACTGCACCAGCATTAAAGACTCCCAGCCCTGGGATACTCACTTGGCCTGCAGTCTGCACGCTGGACCCGGATGAGACCGTCCCTGATCTAATGGTACCTGAGCCCATTCTAATGAGATCTCTGTATTAGGATGAACTCGTGGACGATTACGTCGCCCATGTAGTATGCAAATTGCTTAGATTAATAAGTGTTGTTTACTGTCCCCCATATGAGGTGGATCAATTACTTCAGATACGTCGTCCATGATTCACCCATAATATCACTGTGCCAGGGCTGAATAACTTGTTTCTTATAAAAGGAGCCAGGATGCTCCGACAGTCGTAAAAACTCTTGTCCTGGGAAACTTATTCTGTTTAAAGACACTTATCCTGTTATTTCTAACTTATGGGATGCTTACGCTGTTAAAAAGATGCTCACCTTGTGATTCTCTAAGGGGTTCTTCCTGAGGGGGAGAATAAGTGGTTCCATATGTTGCACTGGTAAGATGCATATCTCGTCCTCAAGAAAATGGAGGATCGGTATGCGGGACACTTGTCTTTAGGAAACAGAGGACCTTCTCTTGTTTAGCAGGGTCGGGAAGGCACTGAGCAAGCAGTATTACCTGGACGGAAGTGGGAATTGGACAATGCATTGCCTGAGGGGAGGGGTGAGCCTGGCCAGCTCGTCCCCTAACCGCACGCAGTGTCCAATTTAGTATACAGGGAGGGGAGAAAACTCAGTACTGACCGAAGCTCAGCTGTGGGATAGAGCATGCATTGCCCGGCACTTTCTAGGGACTTACGTGTTGGTCTCCTGTCAGGACTGAAAAGGGCCCCCCAGTCTGTGTGTAAAGCTGGGTGATGATGGCACGTCCAAGTGTAAATAGCTTTGCAACTGCTTATGCCTTTCGTTGATTCTTGGGAGTAATTATCACCGCTTGTGATAATAATCTGCAACTTCTATGTTTCATTGCTTCTTCTATGTTTCATTGCTTCTTTTCTACTTATATATTTGTATCTTTGCATCTATTATTATTAGCTATAATATATATACTATTCGATACCCCTTGTAGTACGAGGTTATTTTCCATTGTTTTCGATATGATAGCTTGGTATTGATGTTAATGAGAGATTATTTTGTATTACTTATTAAAGTGTTTTTGAGTGCACCTAAGCGTACCTGTTTGTTCCTTCCAGAGCCCTATATCCCTCTCACATCATTTTAATACAGTCTCCCCAGTGTCTTCCAGCTAGTGTCTAATTGCTGAGCTCCTGTGGATCCAAACTTTGTTTCTTCAGTAGTGGTCTGATTACTGCTACTTTAAATTAGTCAGGCACATTAGTTATGGCAGTTCTAGGTTTTTTCAGAACATCCAGGGATTCTTTAAGAAGTTGAGTGGGGATCGGATCCAGTGGACAAGTAGTCGGTTTGTTTTTAGCTATTACTGTTTTTAACTCCTGTTTGCATCGGAATTATTTGTGAGCCATTTGAACATGTTTGAAAATGAACCCTCTGGGGCCTGAGGCCTCTTTTCCACTTTCGGGGTAGTCTGACATGCCTTGACATTTTAAAATATTTCACCTATCTAAAAAACATTTATCCCAAAGTGTTACATGTGCTTTTATTCAGCACAAACTCAGCACCAATAATCTGAGACCACTTAAAATGTTATTATTCTATTTTTTATTAAAATCAACTTTAAAAATATACCTTTCAAAAACCTATTTTCAGACAAGCTGAGAAATTGTAAAAAATCACATGATAGACATTTCTAGCTAAGACTTTTGAGCTCTGAAGCTTTTGAGCTCTGTTTGTAATTTTATCATCAAAGAAGTCCATAAAATGTTCACTACCGATGTTACCTAGTAGCACAGGATCAGCCTTATTTGTTAGATGAGCTAACATGTTTCACCTTTGGTAATATGCGATGCTTTTTCTGCATGTTCGTAAAGGCGCACGGCCGAGACCAGCGGACTTCGTCCGTTATAGACGATATTCCGTTATAAGCGGATCCACTATAACTGTAATTATTTTTTAATTAATTGGAATGCTAAGACGTGATTTTACAGGCTTTATTATATTGATTATGTAGCAATCTCAGCTCTGTTCTCCATATTATGGAAGTATCACGCGGAGCTTTATTTCAGAAAAAATGGTTTTTATTCTCTGCTTTCTCGTCTTGCTTTTACTCACAGCACTGACTACATACAGTAGTTCCATTTTTTTATATACGTATATACAAGACTCATTCTCCCGCTAACTCAAACAAAATCATGTAATTTTGGTACACCTTACAGATTAACAAAAAAGTTCAATCAGATAATGTAAAATATAATGTCAGATGAGGACATATAATTCAACAGTTTACATGACATGAATAGTAAGATCGCGGAATTTCGTCCGGCGGAACGATCTTTTGGGAATCTGTTCCCACACGTCGGACGTTCTTTGAGACAATGCCTAAACTAAGCGAGACTGTTAGCCTGGTCTGGACCAGTCTTGTTCGCCGGCGTAAATTTCCATGGTAATTCAGCGGGGATTCATTTAAGACACGTTGATGGAACGGAACTCTCACTTAAGTAAGACTGACTTGTCGAAATAAGTCAGACTTTCCCTTAAGCCTGCTTCATGGAATACCCCCCATGGTATTTTTGTTTGTAGCATTGCCAGTGTTTTCTATAGGCTATCTGTAAATAAACCCGTATTGTTTTGTAGAGCCGTAATTGGATTGTCACCTCCATTTTTTCCTGCCTGTACCATGCCCCGAGTCCATGACAAGAACCCCCGAGTTTGTGACATCAGTGTCTGTCTGATAAGTAAATAAATGTAAATTTAAGAATAGTCTTAGTAAATACATTATAATTACAGTATGTGCTGTTGTTTTAATATTGTCCTGGGAATATCCAGTCGTCGTAAAAACGTTTTTCTATTTTTTATTTTATATAAAAAAGGCTACATCACACAGAGGTAACAGCACAGGGACAGTATCTATTGTGAAGGTTAATTTTTATTTAGTAACTCATGCGATTAAAGTTAAATCATTACTGGATATTAAATAGTTATGTTTCAATTCAAGGGCGTAGGTTTGGTTTCAACATTGGTATAGGACCAATTCACCCCCGTAAACACAAGATACTCCAGCAATATTGGTAGGGATGATGTCCCTACCGTCCGTACCCAAACCTACTCCCTTGTTTCAAATTTTAACTTAACTAAAGGCTGTTTCGTGCTTACATCATTAATCACACGTTTTGAATATACAAATTGTAATTAGGCTACAGCCACAGTTTATTTTTAAGTATTGTGTTTCTTGTGTGACTTGTTCCTTCGGTATAATCAGCTATAAATTTAAAGTTTATTGGGTAAGTAACAAAGCTTTTTGCGCAAATACAGGCTCGGAGCCCCATTGCCATGCATGTATGACAGAGCATGTAACATGCATTCCGCTTGAGTTTTCAGGCACCACTGGCTTTAACTTTGACTGAGGTGAAGCCCATCCCCTTACAGTGACGGCTGAATTCATCACTACCCAGCACCAGCCAGCCGAAACATCATTTAGTGACTGCAGTTCCCTTAACATGTGGGGAAACGCGCAGATGCCACGCACAGAGAATGATTTACATTTTGTAAGTTGAATTGATACTGTACGGCAGCACGGGCGTCCTCTTCTGTGCATCTTCAGAAAACTGAAATACATCTTTTTTGAGACACTTCTCCCTTCATTTTTGTATTCATTTTCACCTTAAGGAAAGGTAATCATTGTCTTTTCCAAAAACAAGTCGAATACATTTGTGGCTGTGCTTAATAGAGGTAAGTTTTAAAATTAATCTTTTTCAGAACAGATTGATAAAAACATATTCTTTTTAAGTTGGCGGATATCGTGCTTGATGATTAAATAATACACGTTACAGGAAATACAGAAATGCAGACTTATTGTGTGTCATTGTGGGAGAGTCTTAAGAAAATACGACCTGTTACATTTCATTGGAGTTGCTATACGGTTATTTCTGCGTTGTAGCCAAAATCCCCTGATGTTTGCAATCTGCCGTTCTTCCAATTCCGCTTTACTCTGTTAATTATTTTGTTTCCAAACAGTCGTTCGCATATAATATCATTCGTTACCAAAACCCGAGTGGTTTCCTTTTCCAGATTTGTTAATTCGGCTTTTGCTTAGATATGCCACATGCCATATTAGAAGAGATTCTGCTAAAGATAACTGGCTGGTTAGCACAGTTTTCATTCAGCGCTGTATATCGCAGACATGTATTACCTTATGATAACCTATCTACCGGCAAATTAATTCTTTAGATCTCAGCTAAAAATTACACCGATTACATTACAGAAAACAGTTACACATGTTGTGCACTTGTGGCATTGACTCACATTATGGGGTTGGTTGGCACAGCATTAATATTCCATGAATTTTGTAAGAATCTAGCATCATACAAAAATAACGTAACTTTTGCTTTAATCTAGAGTAAAACCGAATATCCAGTGTCAGTGAAATAATGCTTCAGAAACTGTAAAACTACAATATCAAATCAATTTAAACATTGTCTAGAGAACAGTAATAAAACAATAAAATATGGGTCACTTAATATTTCAAACAGGGCATTGTTTCTCCAAATACATTCTTCAATTAAACAACTGTTTTTATTTATCGAACAGAAAATTCTATTAAAATACACAATATTATGTGCCAGCCTACCCTTCTACACTCTTTATGCGCTTCACAATACCAAGGTGGCATGACTTATTGCAGGCTTTCAAATCTTAGCACAGAATACAGCTAATCCACATCTCTATTTGGTGCAATTGATTTGTTTTCAGTATCTCACACAGATACATACAAAATTAGACATTTCCTATTAGGTCATTTTTTAAGGGATCGACACCTTAGCAGTGTGCAGCTTTCCAATCTCTTGACAGGGTGGATGAATGTAGCTAATGTGCTCACATCCTATAATGTTGGATTTGTGCGAAACCTCTCTCTACTCGCTTGGAAATTATTGCTGTGTCAACCAACCCCTACGGCCAACCAGGCCCAGTCTCCCCTACCTGTAGAGGGTAGCAATGTTTGTCATTCCCTGCTCAATCAGTACAAATTATTTTATGAGGTTTAAAAAGCTTTATGATTGATCATCTCCATTATAATTAAGTAATTATATTTTATCTAAGAACTAATATGTTTTAGATTTTGGCATGTACTGTATATACAGTACAGCAGGTTTTGCTTATGAAGGTGTTGCAGAGCAGCATGGCACAGGCAGGAAAAGAATGTCGATCCGCTGGCAGCTTCGAGGACACAAGGGGTTTATTACAGAATAAAACACACTACAAAACTTAAAGGATCACGAAGGATCGGAAAAACGGGAAACAACTGGGAATAAACTAAATCATAGAATAAACACACCTAGAGGACGAAGAAAACACAGGGAACAAGATTAGGCAAAATAGCAAATTAATAAACCGTAATAAACACTTCTGAACTCTAACATACAACTGCACACCATAACCCGAACACACAGAGTAACATCTAACAATGACCAACTGCGGAAATAAACAAAGGCAAGCAGGGGCAGATAACCATATACAAGACAAATTAAACACAGGGATAAGCAATATCAAACTAAGGATAAAACAATAATAAATAAACAAAGGGGGAGTGGGGAACAGTGGACAACCGCTTAGCTTATTCAGCTACATGGCAGCTTGGGGGAGCAAACATACATACTAAGGACTAAGGGCTAAACGACAGAAGGGAACAGGACAGCCAGCAATGGAGACGAGACACATAAAACAGAGACAGACAGGAGCCGACCCTGACATCCAGATTTTTAGCACTCATCTTTTCTATAGAATACGTATTTCTGTGCACGTTTGGGTGTCCTGTTTTTTGTAAAACATTGTTTTTAATTTTAAATGTTCAGCAAACATAACCATAGTTAAGATACAGAACGATTTAACAAGAAAGGGAGAAAATATAGGCACACAAACAGATAAACACAATTCTAATGCAAAGACAAAGTAAGATTGCAGCTTCATAGCTACAGGCTAACTCAGGTTATCTCATTTTCCAACACGTCTTTAATGTCTCTATGTGAAATACAAGATGGGACCCCATATTTCTTGGAATTTAGAGTGTGATTCCTTTAGTTATGCATATGATTTGTTGATCCATTGATAAGTATAGTGACATATTCTTCAACCACTGATGATTTCTCTGTTGATCTCTGTTGATGATTTCTCTGTTCCTTTCCAGAACAAAGCTAAAAGATGTTTAGCGTCAACAATACATACATTAATTAACGTGTGTTATTTCTGGTAATAATGTTATTCATAAATATACCCAAAACAATGATTTTAGGATTCAAAGGTAGGTTTATGGAATCCATTTGGAATTTTATTTGAGAGAAGTCCTTCCAGAATTCACTTTTGAGCAGTCAGTACATACAGTACAAAAGTGTACCTTTTGAGACTTACCATTTACTACATGTATCAGAGATATTTTCATTTGATATATTTAATCTAACTGGAGTAATGTACCAAGGGAGTAAGTAATTTTGTAAAAGTATGTTGTGTGTTTAGGGGGACGGGGTTCGGGGCTGATTTGGTTCCTACCAGTGTTGAAACCAAACCTATAGCCTTGTAATAAGCATTCTCATGATCTAATTATATTGTAATAACTTCAGTTGGCTGTTAAGTTTGTTTATGGGAATGTATACATACCTTGCCATACCTCAGATGGGATATCAGTTTGAAGGTACTTTGTCTATGAGTTAAGTTTATATTCTGAGGATTCTCTAGAACTAGATAGTAAGAATGCTGAGAAAAATGTCAGTACTCTGAGAAAAATGTCAGAATTCTTTTTGTCAGAGTTCTGACATTTTTCTCAGAGTTCTGACTTTTTTCTCAGAATTCTGACTTTTTTCTCAGAATTCTCTGAAATGTATTTTACGTGGCCCTAATCCTCTTCCGTACAGGAGGGATGTAGCCTAACTTCTGAGCTGTAAGTATTTTACAATGTATAGATTTTTTTGGAATGTTATACTTTGTTGATTTTTAACTCTGTGAAGGACATCAATATGTTATCTTTATATACATTGTGATTTTTTTTGTAATCCTTTTTAATGCATGTTTTGAATTCCATTTCTAAATGGTTTGAATTTTAATTTCCCTAAATTGGAGTGAAGGTAATTTATTAGACTGATCTACATATTTATGAACTTCATACCAAACATCAATGATGTTCACCAAGCATGGGTGATCAGAAATGGTGTTTTTGCTTTTTATCACAGTACTATTTCTATGGAGTATAGCTATAGGTTGAAGGGTAGTCTGGATTTGACAAAAAAATATTCTATTTTCAGCTATGCCAGGAAAGGCGTAGAAGAGAAGTAATTGTTCGTAATTCAGGTGCCCGGTACGTAGTAAAGGTGTTAGTCAACAGTATGCTTTGATGCATTCCGGTGTTCTTCTGAATATACAATATGCCGTATGTGTTGCTGATGTAGGCCTACCGTAATTTTTGGTAAAAGTACCGAACAAATGCAGCAAATGTGGAACCTTTTTGTGTTTGTTGTTTTTCCCCCAAGCAACATTCAGAAAGGGGTGGATGAAGCCGCACCATTACACATGCGTGTTTACATCCTAATGTGAATCGGGAAATTGTTAATATAAATACATGTACAGCATGGGTATTTTTTTTAATGCTGTACCATAACGAATATTTATTATGTTATGCTTTGTATTTTTTAGACAATATTTGGAAGCTGCTAATGTGAATACAGTACAGATCAGGTGCAGTTAATTTTCCAAATGTGCACTTTAATGGATATTTATTAAATTTTTATTTACATGAGAGAATATTTATTTTGATTTACTTTTAAGTACATTTTAGTTTTTTATTAGTAGGTTACAGCAGTATTGACAGAGACTTTGTATTTAAATTTTCTAATTTTATTTATTTGTTCAGTTAACCACTGTTTAATAATGAAAAAAAGAAGCAATTTATGTTTTGTTTCTTTTACCTCTGCTGTACGAAAAACATACCGAAACGTGACTTCAAAACTGAGGTACGTACTGAACCGTAATTTTTGTGTACTGTTACAGACCCTTAGACAGCCAGCAGTAATAATGGAAGTAGGGGTGATCAAAATAAGGTAGCAGTATCGCAGTGGTATCACTCACTGGTTTACTCATGAATTGCTCTGTGGTCAGGATCCCTTTTTCCCTTGGGAGATTTAGCTACATCCCAAGCTAAAATAAGTAGGTTTTTACTACATACTTAAACCTGAATTATATCAAAAAACAGGATCTCTCGGTATAACAGGTGTGTTCTCTTTTCTGTGTGTATCGTTTCATGCAAGTTATACCAGGAAACTTTTCAAGGGGGAGTATGGGGATGCAGATCTCTAACAAATATTCATCTAAGTTACTTCTAGGTTTTAATGCCGAGGAAAGGTATTTTAAATAGCAGTATTTTATATGTTTGCATGTCTTCTTCATATTATGCAAGTGTCCTCAGGGGACTCCGATTTCCTGTCACAGTCCAAAGGCATGCAGTTAGGAGAACTGGCCTCACTGAGTATCCACAGTGTGTTAGCCCTGAGATGGACTGGCATCACACGAAGAGTAGGCCAGTTCCCCTGCTTTGTTCTCTGTGCTATCTGGGATAGAGAAAGCACCTCTGGGACCTTGCTGTGGTTAGGAAATCACTGGCTGCATGGATAGAGTATATTGCACTAAATCTACCAGTTGATGACTCCATAGAGTAGGGGCATCTTCACATTTTGTCATGGTCCATTTAAACATGCAAATACATAGACAGTAAAAAAACATAGATGAGAATATTACTTTTGTTCTCCTTGTTACATCAAAGTACTGCAGTGTTCAATATGTTTTATTATATAGTGTTTTGTATAAAGTTCATCAACATGAGGCCAACCTTAGGTCAGTTATCCGTCATACATAGTTTTGTGTAGCTATGTTTATGTAAGACAAAGTAAGGTAAGACTTTCTAACGATGGGATTTGTGGTTCTAATCATACGAGGATCACAATTCCACATCTGCTACCTCAACACTGGAAATAAACCTTCTGTGTTCAAATTCCATTGTCTCACAGAATATCCCAAAAACTGGCAGTTAATTCAGCACATTTGGAGTGTTTTCTGAATGGGGAGTGTGGGTCAAACTTTTGATTGAGCTGACCGATTCGATCAAGTAGCTTGCATTTTCTATCATTGTAGGCATTTTAGAGGAAGGCAATAAAAACAATATCTTAGTACAGCTTGTTTTAAACCAGTGGTATCCTTGTTGAACAGATTACAGATGGACTGATTATATTCAGCATATACAGTACAGTAGGTAGCAATGGTATTGCTAATGTATAAACCAATTAGCCATGAAAACCACCTGCCTACCATTGTGCAGGCCCCCATTGTGCCACCAAAACAGCTATCAAGACATGAATTCCACAAGACCTCTGAAGGTGTCCTGTGGTGTCTGGCACCAAGACTTTAGCAGGAGATCCTTTTAGTCCTGTAAGTTGAGAGGTGGGGCCTCCGTGGTAACTGGACTTTGTCCAGCACATTCTTGCAGTTTTGCAGGGTGCATCATCCAGCTGACTTGGGGAATGCCACTGCATTTAGGTAGTGTGTTTGGTCTGCAGTAATGTTTAGGTAGGTGGTATGTGTCAAAGTAATGAATGCCAGGACCTAAGGTTTCCCAGCAGAACATTGTCTAGAGCATCACACAGCCTGCCCCGGCTTGCCTTCTTCCCGTAGTGCATCCTGGTGCCATCTCTTCCCCAGGTGAATGACGACACACATTCGCAGCCATCCACATGATGTAACAGAAAATGTGACTCATCAGTCCAGACCACCTCCTTCCTTTGCTCCATGGTTTAGTTCAGATGTTCATGTGCTCATTGTAGGCACGTTTGGGGGGTCAGTATGTGCACTCTGACCAGTTTGCGGCAACACAGCCCCTTACACAGCAAGCAGCAATGTAGTGTGTATTCTGACACACTTCAGCATTAACTTTTTCAGCAATTTGTGCTACATGAACTCTCCTATGGGATGACACCAGACAGGCTAGCCTTTACTCCCCATACTATCAATGAGCCTTGGGCACCCATGACCCCAATTCTAGTTTATTGGTTAACCTTCTTTGGCCCACTTTTGGTAGGTACTAACCACTGCATACCAGGAACACCCCACAATACTTACCATTTTGGAGATGCTCTGCCCCAGTCGTCTAGCCATCACAATTTGGCCCTTGTCAAAGTCGCTCAGATCATTACGCTTGTCCATTTCTCTTGCTCATCAATATCAAGAACTGACTCTTCTCTTGCCTAGAAGAGTTCACAGGTTTGCCCTTATCAGGTGCCATTGTAAAGAGATAATCAATGTTATTCACTTCACCTCTCAGTGGTTTTAATATTATAGCTGATCGGTGCAAATGTAGACATTTCACATATATTTTTACAGTATGAATATATAGAAATTGAACAGCTTCCAGTTGAGTACTCTGATGGGTTAAGTGAATAGATGCTTTGTTTGCGTTATTAGTAACTGAATAGTTTTGTGAACTATCACTGAATCAGAAGAAGCTATCTGTATATTTGTTTTATTGCAAAATTACAATGATGGATACAGATGACTCTAGCTATAGGCAGAACTGACAGTTGCCTAGGGCCCTCAAATTACCTTGAGTTGTGGAGAATGTGGAATAATCATCAATTTTCTTGGTAGTGGGGGCCTCCCAAGCAAAGCTTCGCCTAGGCCTAGAGGTAGTCCTGGATGGATATAAAGTACTTCTTATACATTGCACTTGGTCTGTAAATATACTGCAATAGCACAACCCAGCCTGTTAGAGGGCTGACTTTAACTAATCAGGTGTGCATTTCATTTTATCCACCTTGGTATTGTTTGCTTAACGCCAGTACAATGCTTATAGATAGGGTTGATAGCTCATACCAATAGGCTGTTGGGTCAGTGCTCTTAGCTGAGGCCAGTGTGAGTTACACTTACTTTTAGTTGCTTTCCAAGACTATTTTGTTTCCTCTAGCAGGATACGGGCCGTAAGGCAGGCGCTCAGCACCTATGGCTGTTAGCTGTAAGCAAATACAGTTTCAGTTTCCAGATGCTTGTGACTTGATCTTGCTTGAAAAGCTGGCTTCTTTCAATGGTCTTCTGTTTTACCACCATTGTTACATACTGTCAACTGTTTTTCCCATTCCAGAGCTACTGGCATCCACTTCTAATTTCAATGGTTTTTCAAACCAAGGAGCAGCTAACACCGGTGAACTGCTGAGCAACGCTTTAACAGAGGCAAAAGCAGATTAGCAAGAGGGAGACCACACAAATGGGGTATTTTACCCAAGCAAACAGGTGAGGGGCAGAACAACATCAGGAAAGTTCTTGTGAAAGCTTTGATAGTACCCCGCCATTCCCCAAAAACTCCTGAGCTTACTTTTTGTCTTGGGCACAGGAAAAGACTCAATAGCCTGCGCTTTGCCATTTAGGGGTCTGACCGTTCCCTGACTTACTAATTTTCCAAGGTGCATAATAGTACCCTGATCAAATTCACCAAATTTCTCCAGGTTAAGCACCAGGGAAGCCTGTTGTGGGCATAGGAACACCTATCCTAATGTCTCCATGTGCTCTTCTCATGTACTGGAGTAAAGCACCACATCGTCGATGTACATTTCACAGTTCTGCACACCCCCTAATACCTCGTGCATTGAGTGCTGGAAGGTAGCTGGTGCGTCACGCAGCCAAAAGGGCATCACGGTGTACTGGAAGAAGGTGTCGGGTGTGACAAAGGCGGATGCTTCGGACGCACAGGGCATCTGGCCGGTTAAAAGTGCTTTGTGACAATGACTGTTGTTAACAGCGCTATATAAATAAAATTGAATTGGATTGAATCAGGGGTACTTGCCAGTAACCTTTCAAAAGGTCCAGTTTAGTGACAAATGCAGCAGATTCGATGCGATCAACACAGTCCTCAGTCCTAGGGAGAAGAAAAGCGTGCAGAATCGATTAGTGCCATCTGGCTTTGGTACAAGCAAACGCGGTGAACTCCACAGGCTACACCTCGGAACAGCCAGCATGTGCTTGGGTAAATATGCGGTTTCCTTTTAAAATAATGTGCATTTGCGTGGACTCACCTGATAGGGATGTTGCTTAATGGGGGCTGAGGTGGGAGAAACTGTCGAAGGATTAGCGACAGACTGATCCATATCGGGCTTCAACATATTTATACTGTATGATACATGCCAGTCTTCCTTCTGTGATTTGGGGTCTGTACTACATAATCCATGGGGCTCAGTTTCTCTTGCACGACATACAGTCCAGAGAATCCGGACAAATGGAGAATAACGAATACCCAATCACCGGTCTGAAAAGCCTGTTCTTTTGTCTTCTTATCAAAGTCTTTCTTCATCACGACTTGGGAGGTACTTAACGAGCATTTAGCGAGTTCACAGGTGCTGTTAGCCACTCTCAGAGTGAGCCCACATAGCTTCGTTTCTCTGTAGACTGAGGAGGCATGGTCGGAGACAACCATTGCTCTTGTAATATTTTTAAGGGTCCTCACAGAGAGTGTCCAATAAAACTCCACTGGACTGAAACCTGTGAACTCTTGTAAAACATCTCTAATTGCAAAGGGAGGGAGGGAGGGAGACGCCCCACTCTTTCCCAGGTTTGAAGCAGAAGGTGGGCACCATATTTTTAAAAGATTGATGAAATGACTCCAGGGCTCCTTGACTCTGATAAGCGCTGGACACAGTTTGCTGAATGTTCAGCTCACAGATGACATGGGCAAACAATTTTGAAGTGAAGTTCGCACCCTGGTCTGACTGCACATACTTGGGTAGCCCGAAAGTAGTAAAAAAAAAAACTAATAAGGGCTTTTATTATTATTGTTGTCCTCAAGCTACGGATATGAATAGCTTCGGGGAAGCAAGAAGCGGCACACATGAGCATAAATAGATAAGAATTCCCCAAGTGAGTTTTTGGTAGGAGCTCCACACAATCGATTATCACATGTTCAAATGGTTCCCCGGTTATGGGAATGGGACGTAACGGGACAGGCACAACTACTAGTTGACACGTATGACACACCTTACAGTACTGCTTAACTTCCAAACTTACCCCAGGCCAAAAGAAATGTTTTACCACTGTTGCCTCATAAATCTAGTGTTGGGACCAGAATTCCACCTCTGGTCTTTGTGTGTGGATTTTGCATGTTCTCACTGCATTGTCTGGGTTTCCTCCTGATGTTCTGAGGCATACAGTTACTCTGATGTCTCTGAATTATCCTGTGTGTGTCTCGTAATGGACTGGCATCCCTATCAGGGTGTACCCCAGCCTTATGCCCTGTGATGGACTGGCATCCCTATCAGAGTGTACCCCAGCCTTATGCCCTGTCCTATACAGTATCCTGCACCATCTGTGACTCTCTCCAGTATGCAGAAGACAATAATAACTGTCAATTCTAATCAAACACAATGTTATTTTTGTGCTTCTGTTTTTTAGATTCATCATGAACCAAAGATTGGATCCAAACATTACACTGGGGGAAAGTCAATATTGGTATTTTCCCAATAGCTCTCAGGAATATAGCTACCCTCAGCAGAACATCACATATGTGGTATATTACCTCCATGAGCCGCCTGTGGTGGCTGTCTTCATCATCTCCTACCTGCTCATCTTCCTGGTCTGCATGGTTGGCAACGGGGTGGTATGTTACATCGTCTTAAGGAGCAGAAATATGCGCACAGTCACCAACGTTTTCATCCTGAATCTGGCCATCAGCGATCTCCTTGTGGGAATCTTTTGCATGCCAACAACACTTGTGGATAATATCATCACGGGTGAGTACCATGGTCCATACACAGCACGGCACAGGATAGGGAGAGAAATTGTGCACAGATGAGTATCTGGGTAGCTAATTAACTTTGACAATGGCACCATAAGCAGTTGGGATCTCTGTACTTTTAACCTTTACCATTTAAATAGTATGTCTGCTTTCAGATTTGAAAATTGTGAATTTGGGATAAAAGAAGCTAAAATGGGATTTTAAAAATGATTAATGAACAAAATTTATGACTGAGTGGTTAAAGTTGTTTGACATGACCTGAATTACTCCATAAAATATTAAAATAATTTAAATTAATATCTGATATTGATCTTGCATATTATGTCACTCATTGCAAGATCCTGATCTCTAGATAATATGCTAATCTAAGTCCCAGAAACCCTGCTCCAGTTATACAGTTGGAAGATGGATGAATAGATATAATCTATATGGGTTGTCTTGCCTGAAAGACAAGGCAATTACCATAAAACAAACAGAAGTTTTAAGGTACACGAGACCCTGTAGCTGATGCCCTAAGGATACTACCTTCATATTTGAGAGTTTAATAACACTCTTCACTGAGAATGTTAAATATATACTGAATACATCCACAGGCATATGATTATAGTGATTTTGTAATATTTTAGCATAGCTGAATAGTGAGAGGCCTGGCGGGCAGCATTGTTACATCACACCCTTCAGGGCTTTCTCCCTGTGTTAGGCCGGTTTCCTCTAGGTGTTCTGCTGCTCTGCTTTCCCGCTGTAGTCCAAAGACATGTATTTAGGCTCTAAATTACTCATATTGCATGTACAGTATGTGCCCTGTGATGAACTGGCATTCCATCCAGGGTGTATCCAAGCCTGGTGCCTTATGCTGGCTCCGATACGGTCGGATGGATGCATGAATGCAAGCACAGACTGGCCATCAGAAGTTCAGGAAATTTCCCTGGAGGTCGGACCACCAAGGCCCTCATTTCCTGCACAACAATATTTTTTTTAAATATTGCGATTATACTGATAGTGTTTATTAGTAATATTGATAATAATAATAATAAGAGAAGAAGAAGAATATTATGATCCCCATTTTCTGCTGAAATATAATTAAGACAGTCTGCTATCTCTTTGACAGGCTGGCCATTTGGAAGTCTGGTGTGCAAAATGAGTGGAATGGTCCAAGGAATATCGGTGTCAGCTTCAGTGTTTACACTGGTCGCCATTGCGGTTGACAGGTCAAATCATTTTATATGAATAAACGTAAAACAATGTTTTTGTGTCATTTTTTAATAAAGTGCCCACATTCTAAGTACCATATTTGGCACTTCTAATTTCTTAGAAAATTAATAGAAACTGTTAAAGAAATGCATATATAAAAACGTTGAACCTTATGCAGTAGAACATATTTTAACTTAAGGTAAAAGGAAGTGTTATATCAAATTATTTTGTATTGCTTTGGTCATACAGTGAAATGTACTTTTCCCCATTTTAGGTTCCGATGCATTGTTTACCCTTTCAAGCAAAAACTGACAATATCAACATCAACACTAATAATTGTGATTATATGGCTTCTTGCTCTTTCCATTATGTGCCCATCTGGTGTCATGCTGCAAGTCACCAAGGAACAGAATGTGCGTGTTCTTCTAGGCAATGGCAACGAGACAAGCCCTTTCTATTGGTGCAGGGAAAACTGGCCCAATCAGGGAAGAAAGATTTACACCACTGTCCTCTTTACCAGCATTTACCTGGCACCGTTGATTCTGATCGTGATTATGTATGCTTGGATTGGTGTTACCTTGTTTAAAACGGGCATGCCTGCAGAAGGAAGTTGTGGTCATGAAAACCGACAGATAGTCTCAAAGAAGAAGAGAAGAGTCATCAAGATGTTGCTCACTGTAGCCTTGCTTTTCATCGTGGCCTGGCTTCCCCTCTGGACTGTAATGATGCTGAGTGATTATGCCAGCCTGACCGAGTACCAGTACAGAGTGATAAACATCTACATCTATCCATTTGCACACTGGCTCGCTTTCTTCAACAGCAGCATCAACCCCGTCATCTATGGCTTCTTCAATGAGAATTTCCGAAGGGGATTCCAGGCCGCTTTCAAGTTACAGCTGTGCTCGGCAAGCGTGGGCCGCAAACAGACCTACTCGCACAGGGTCCACACAAATTCCGTTCTTCCCGCCAACCTGCATGTGTCCAAAGGGCTCGCTCCTCTCAGCGTGAACTGCGAAGAGAACAACCGCTCCACAGTAAGCTCCAACCTGAACGACCAAGACCTTATAATGGAGGACCTTGAAAAGGTATATTGCCTCACGGTGTGTGGTACTTCACACATATTTAAAGTAATGATTTTTCATATTCAATTGTCTTATTAAAAAGCATTTCATCTAAAGGTGGTTTTATTATTTAAAAATATTATTATTACCAACTACCACGTTTTCTTTGCATATGTACAGTTATGACAAGTTACCCTCTTCTCAGGCTACGAGTTGAAATTATGCCACTAGCATGCAAATAAAAAAGTAAAACAACTGCAAGTTTAAAAAATGACTAATTAATCTGACCCAGGCAATGTTGCTTTTGATTTGAGTGATGATAAAACTTAAGTTCCCTATACTATGTATGTATATATAGCAATTTTCAAGACACCAAAAGCACCAAACCAGCCCACACCTGGATGATGTGACAGCAGCCATTCACCACACAGTAGCTAATGTGGTGAAGGGACAGGGAGAGGATTTACTAATTAGTTATAGGGGATGATTACTGTAGGAGGCCAGAGTGTCACCAATGCCCAGGGATCTTTTATTGGAAGGACAGTGCCATTTCTACAGTACAGTGTCCCATCACTGCATTGGGATCCACACTGACTACAGGATGGGCTAACCTGTTGTTTACTCCAATGCCTCTTTCAGCAGCAACCCAGCTTTCTTCATTAGCCTCCCATCCAAATACTAGCCAGGCCCAAACCTGCTTAGTTTTAGATTGAGTACCTAATCCTAACTGCAGGTGGTATGGCTACATTGTACTATGGCTACATTGTACTATGGCTACATTGTACTATGGCTACATTGTACTATGGCTACATTGTACTATGGCTACATTGTACTATGGCGTTTAATTTTACCAGCAGCCTGAATTGTCTCAAGCACTCCCAGCAATAACTGTCCCTGCAATGACATCGAAGCTTGTGTTTAAAAATGTTTTTATATGATTCATATAACCTCGTCATTCCATCCCAGAGGACTTCAGAGGTTCTTAATGAGATATACTGAACTGACTGCACTGATTTTGTTCCCTTCCATGTTCAGATATATACCCCCAGGCAGCCTGACAGTCATACCCAACAGTGATGAGGTCCATCTAATGGATTCTTTCAGGTACAGTACTTGTCATCATCCCACACCGGGGTGGCGTTTCTTGAGTTTTTGGTGGCCGTATCTTCAACATGGAGAAGTTAGCTGGCAATTTTTTTTCCATTTATAACACAGATGGTAAAAGGTAGGGATTCATATGTGTGTTTCATCCATTTATTGATTGCTTGCTGTTTTTATTTTATTTTATTTTATTTTATTTTAACCAAAATAGAATTAGCTAGGAAGAATTGTGCTCTTTTAAGAGCACAGGTTGGGACAGGAGGGCTATCTGGTATGCTGATTCATGAACTCAAAATTAGTCTTCCGTTTGCAGCTGGCAAGTCATTTCAAGTTTGTATCTTTTTCATGTTTCAGGTAGACAGAAGCATGATACCAGTTCACCCTAATGACTGAATAGTAGGAAACAGGTATAGGACTTTTTATGCTTGACTAACCCCAATTAAAATTAATTTGGGGTGGAAAATGTACTTATTATAAATATGGGAAGTATTGTTTACACTTTCATTAATGAATCTGAAGAAATTTGGAAAAAATATTACAATATTTATTTCAGTGACATATAATTATGTTATTTAAAAGAAATATTAAGAAAACATTAGTTTGAAGTGCTCACTATTTTGCTACTAATTATATGAAGCATGTTGTTACTTTCGCTTTTCAGCTATTCATATGCATGCTTCACTCCACTGGGTAACCAAAAAGTGAATACAGTTCGAGGGGCTCGTACCCTGACCATGGAATGGAAATGTACAGCCCTCTTGTTCAGGTCATGCAGTGTTTTGATGTTTGGCCTGTTGGCCCCGATGACTCATATTTAAAGAACGGTGCTTAAACTCATTACTCTTACTGTTGATGGTAATAGAGTGAGATGTGTGAGGCGTGGAACAATTTGATCAGTCTCTTGATGGGGTTTATTTTACTGTCGGCCTTGATTTTGTTTGTGAGGCTATTGTAGTTTCAGAAGCACTGTCAAATGAATGTACTGGCTGAAGCAGGGGTCTGTGTTCCACTCGTGCTCGTCAAACTGTGTTCTGGATTACGTTCAGACTGAGCTCTTAATTAATTTGCTTTGATTGACCTGACGGTCGAATGAATCACATGATTAATTACCCGGGGCTAGGGTACAATGCCAAATATTTAAAGCAGCAGTGGATTAAAATGAACAAAGATCTGCAATGACAGTATTTTTTCTCAAATTGGTCTTCTTTTTTGCTGTTTTTTCAATCCACTGCACAATTATTTTCACATCCTGAGAGAGGGGCAATGCACGCTATGCTTATTTTTTTCAAGTGTTATTTTTATTTTTTGCCTGATTCTGATTTTTTGAGCAACTTGTCATTTTACATACGTGAAGCAGACTTCACTCGGTTGGCTTGCAGACAAATAAACTGGATGGATGGATGGATGGATGGATGTGGACATCTATGTTTTTTGTTTCAGTGTTCCTGAAAGGGAGGACCGGCTTTTTCCCTTACCATTTTGTTAATCTTCAACTGATATACCAGGCACATTAAACGACCTGTTACGTAAAAGTTACACTCTGTCTTTCTTCTATAAATTCTTATTTGTTTTAATTCTTCCATTAAAACCAAAAGAAACAAATTGTGTTTTTTAAACCCCTAATCATCTGCTTGTCATTCCTCTGTGGGAATCTATTAAGTGGCATAAGCTTTCAACCAGTAATCATTTATATCTGGAGTAAATGCATTTGATTAGTATTTGTCCAAACCATCAGTAAGAGTGGGGGCGGTGACTGAGCCGCTGTTCGCATAAACAGAGTACAATAAAGGAGATGTACTTAATATGTCTTAGCCTGCACATAACATGCAACTAGATGTTACACTTAACGGCACTTTAACGTGATATATTAACCATAAAAGTGTATTTTGTATGAAAACATTAGGGCAACCATATATGATGCAAGACAGGAATAAAAGTTGAACATTGATCAAGTTTGAAACCTGCTCAAATAAGTGCAACAAATAATAATAATAATAATAATAATAATAATAATGTGCTGTGCCAATTCACCCATCTCCTCCAATGTTATGGAATAGTGACAGGACCAGTTAGGAACATGGGACCCAGATATGGAGCAAACCAGAAACCTAAACGCTAAGCGAGAGTCGTCGTCGGGGACGATAGCTAGGATAAGTTAGGTATTCTGTCCAGAGGAGGGAAGGGAAAGACACACAACTCCCTCGATCTGAATGCTTATTTGCTGTGCTTCGTCTTAATGCCACCGCATTGCGTAGAAGGCAAGTTTTTATTAAAGCTTGTTTCAAAATCAAGCAATCAAGTTTAACCAAGTAAACACAATAGCTCTAAATGTAATTAATGACAGTTCTGTCAGCAGAAACATCTTGTTACTGAGAGCCACCAGGCCACGAGCGCAAAAATAAAATGTTCAGTACAACAATGGTCTGCAGAATGGTTTCTCCGAACATCCAACTCCTCGACCTTGGATGTGGTTCTGGAGACAAAAAGACAAAACGAGTTACACTGCTTCTTAGAACAGCATCAGATATATTTATAAAAATGTAGGTTTTCCTATTTCATATTACATTAAACATCTAATCCAAATCATACAACCAAAGAAGGTGAAAGACAGTACTGTACATGTAAAGAGACTATCAAAACTGCGTAGGGAGAAAAACCTCAGACAGAGCAATGAGATATAAGCAAACACTCAGCGCAACTGTGATTATGCACTGAAATTATTTGGAAATGGGCATGGCTGGTAGAGCAAACTAGATTTTGGAACCAATGTAACAATTGTGTACTATTTTTAGCTTTAACAGAATAATTTGTTCCAAAATGCGTTTATGTCATACCACTGTTTGTCAGCAGAAAAACCAAGCTCACTTACAATCTGAGAAAAGTCAAAACGTATTCATACGCCTCATTTTAAATGACTAAAATGTAACTATTTCTGCCTTACATCTTGTTAAATGGATCACATTATCACACTGAATAAAAGAAATACTTTCCTTGAAGGTTACAATTTCATAAATTAAACTGTATTGTAAACAAAACTGCATTTGTGTTGATTTTTTATCAGTTGTTTTTCAGCAGTGAAATTCTGCATTGACAGTTCATGGGACTGAATCCAAATGGCATCCTTGCTTGCAACCTAATTAAACTGATATGGCATACCACAGATAACAACAAGTATTGCTTATAAAGATGAGCTAGAAATCCAAAATCAGGCATAAAAAGCATTGTGGGCATAAAATCTATTTAATAATGTATAATACAATGAACTATACAAACAATCAAAACAAATTACTGTCATGGAAAAATTCCCTCTCAAAACAAACTTTAATAACATCAACATCCAGAGAGTCCCTTCGTTACCTGTACTGTAACTATCACCATGAACAAAGGATTTATAATTCAGACAAAATTTTGATCCCCACTTACCCAAGACCATCCTTTTCATTTTACAATATCAACACTGTGTTATCAAAAAATTAGGCACGGCTACACTACTAATGGTGATTTCAACACTACTAATGGTGATTTCTTGTCAGCAAGTAATAGATTTAAAGGACTAAATATAAACTCTTTAAACTAAAAATATTCATTTAAGGCTTACTGTTAATAGATATTGATTTTATTTCATATTTATGTATGTTTTATTAGAACGCATGTCCCTACAATGTTGTCAAGGAAATGGGGACTGGAAATGGATACATGGGGAATCTACCTGATTAGGTCACTTCCCAGTGCCTCCCAGTGCTTGAAATGAGCTATAGTTAACTAGGGACATAAAGGTGCCTAACAAAATAATATGTTTTCCTCCTTTGTCCTGGTATTTCAGCAAAACAACATTTGACATTTTTCGAAAGAGGCCAGGTCCCACTGCGGCCATCAAGGCTGTTTATTAAGTACTTGAGCTGAAGTGTACTTATAACATTGAAGAGAATACAGGGCTGTGGATCTGCAATCCATAGGAACTTTATACAGTCAAACCTCCAATTGCGATTTACGAGTGTTTTGCAAGACGAGCAAAAATTTTAAATAAATATGTATTTATTTAAGGTATGAGGATTGCTGTGTGTTGTATGTAATTTCAAACAGTGTAAAGGTAGCTAAATAAGTTTTGAGTCAATTCGGAATGATCAATGTTATCTTTTTTTGCAGGTTGTTTATGACCTGAGAGAAGAAAACAAACTGAAATGAAGGTATATTTTGCCTCTTTTGGAATGATCCTAAATGGTTAAAAGGTTCCAATGGCTCTTGAATAATTCATGACAGTTGAGAGCTACAATACTAACAATGCGATTAATAAGACAGTACTTCCTTTAAGACATTGATAGTAATGGGCATTTCTGTGTTTGTCAATGTTATGTAAATAAAAATAAATAAATCAGTGTCAAGCAATGTTAATATTTTTGAATTATTACATACAACCATCTATTTACCAGTGTGCTGTGTTGTGTGGTCAGCATGTAATGCTTGAATAATCAAAATGATGGTAACATGGGGCACAAATAATATAGTATTATACTATTACTCATATATATATAATATATATATATATATACAGTGGTACCTCAGTTCTCGAACTCATTAGAACTAGAATTTCTTAATTTCTTAAATAAGTGGAACTAACCAGTTCGAAAAAAAAATTATCTAGAACTCGATCTGAATCTCAGAAGTCAAACCGTGAACACCGGCCTAAGATAACTTGTACACGCGAGGAGATGAGTTATGTGGCACGTCTCTCAGCAGAAATAAAGGGTAACGCTTCAGTCTCAGCCTCAGCCTCGCATTCGCTGTGATAGCATCGTGCATGTTTACACTAGCTGAATACATACACTCACCTAAAGGATTATTAGGAACACCTGTTTAATTTCTCATTAATGCAATTATCAAATCAACCAATCACATGCCAGTTGCTTCAATGCATTTAGGGGTGTGGTCCTGGTCAAGACAATCTCCTGAACTCCAAACTGAATGTCAGAATGGGAAAGAAAGGTGATTT